CCCCACCCCCAAAAGGCCCCTTTTTCTCCCGGAACACCAAAAAGGCCCCCCCCAATTTTTCCCCCCCCCCTTTTAAGGGTCGCCCTTTTCCTTTTTTTTTTTCCTCCCCTTTTTTTTTTTTTTTTTTTTCTGGGGAAACCCAAACAATTTTTTTTTTTCCCCCCCAAATTTTAAAATTCCGCCTTTTTTTTTTTTTTCCCTTCAAAGTTTTCCGTTATTGTTTTTTCCCCCCCCCCCCCCCCCCTTTTCCCCTTTTTTTTTTTTTTTTTTTTTTAAATAAAACCCTTTTTTTTTTTTTTTTTCCCCACCTTTTTTTTTTTTTTTTTTTTTTTCCGGGGTTCCCCCAAACTTGGGGCATTCCCCTTTTTCCCGCCCCCCGGGGCCAATTTTTCCCCCAAAAAACCCGTTAAAAAACCAACCCCCCCCTTTGGGTTCCCAAGGGGGGGGGGGGGGGGGGCGTACTCTTATGTTTTGCATGCCTTAGCGGTTAGACCATTGGCCACGCGTTCTCGAGAGGACGGAGCATTGTACCCACAGGACCGATCACCGATAGCCATTCGTTCCTTCCTACTTTGCCAAAGGTGGCTCAAAAATGTCTTCCCTAGTCTGTCTATCCTACCGATATCCCTTCCCGCCTTTTCAAACCACTTCCTACTCCCCAGTACAGCTACCGTCCTCCCCTCTCTATTCCATGCCTCAAACATCTCCCTGTACGTCCATTGTATATTTCCCAGCTCAGTCATGTACACTTCCCTCTCCTCTTCGTACCACGGACATTCCGCGACTACATGAACACGTTCTTCGCATTCGAAGCCGCAATCACATTTGACCTTGTCATCTTCGTCGTCTACCGTCCTATGTCTTCGTCGACGTTCTCGAAGGCCTATGTCCCCGGTCCTGAATTTGACCTTAAGCTTGTCCCTGCATCCATTGGTCCATGTAGGTAATCCTTGAACCCTATTCCTTCTTTCAACATTCCGTACACTTCTAGACCCTCCTTATCCTCGGTTTGTTTCCTTAGATTCTGTTCTGCTCTCTCGGCACAAGCAACAGATATCTTCTCCTTGAACCCCTGTAGACCCTCCGTTTCCAGCGTTTCATCTTCGTCGATGTCTAACCCCTTCCATACGTCCTCTACAACCTTGACCCATTCCGTGGGTTGTCTACCCCTCTTTTTGTTTGCCCACTTCGCCTCCCATACTATTCTCGGCAACCTCTCCTCTCCCATCCCGCACATGCGATACTGACATGTCAGCTTCCTTGCGTCTCTTCCCGACCGTAGGGATTGGATCCCCACTTCTGCCCTTGCGGCTGCATTACTTGTGCGCTTGGAGCATCCTAGGATGATTTTCGCTGCTTTCATCTGCGCCGCCTCGAGTTCTTTCACTACCTTCTTATTTCCTTCCCATATTCCTCCGGCGTACTCTAGCGGCGGTACGATTACCCTCTTCAAAACCGCCAATTTGATGCGTGTATCGAGGTGCCGGTTTGCGAGTATTGGGTGCAGCTTCCCTGCTCGTGCTTTGCCCTTTTCCGCTGCCTTGGACATGTGTGCATTCCACGAGCAGTCGTTTGCGATCTCTACTCCGAGGTATGTGTACTGGTCCTCTACTGCAATCTCCTC